AACCTTAGGTTGAAAGTAGTGACAAGCTTGGACAAATAATTAGAGTTCAACACGAACAGCCAAGAACAACTCTTAACAATATCATGAACACAATACAAGTAATAACTCAAACAATATAATGCTCAGCTCATTCACAGTTCCGAAAAAATAGGCATGCTTTTCAAGTATAACAGTAAAACCCAAATCTTTCACCAAAATCACCAAAATATGAGTAAATTTGAAAACAATAATTTTTCCCATAAACTTTTAACAACAGATAAGAAGTCTCATTATCAGATGGCATGAGAAAAGTACATCTCTATGCCTATATGTCAATGTGCATGTGAACGTCGTGAATGTCACTATATTGTACATCATGAGGAAATGCATCTCAATGCGTACATGCCAAGTATGCATGCCAACTGTAATGCAACACAGTGATAAAACCATATACATACTCTCAGAGTATCAATTCGCTCAGTCCTCCCAGTCACTCAGCACTCGCACTCAGCACTCGCAGTCGCGCTCGGCACTCGGCACTCGTACTCACTCTCGGTACTTACACTCAGTAGGTACCTGCGCTCACTACTAGTAAATCAGACTCCGGAAGGGCGGATCCTGCCCAAGCGCTAATATAAGCCAATCATGGCATGAATCAATAAATCTTGTTGTGACGTGCAGCCAATCCTATAAATATCCTCACTATCAGGCCATCGGCCTCACTCAGTCATCATTCTCTTCAGTCTCTCGGGCTCACAATGTCATGAAAATTAGCTCCAAAATGATTATATGATGTATCAATAAATGGTAACATAGACTGAGATATGGTATGCAAATGAATGAGTATGACTAGGTATGTAATTGCAATGTAAGCAAATAACTCAACATCAGAAATGACCTCAGTGGGTCCCAACAGGATAAGCATATAACCTAGACATGGTTTCTAACATGGATCACAGCTCAATTACTCTAGTACGTTGAAATTTCATGAATAAAAACAAGATTAGTTCACTACATAGTACCACAGAATCAGTCGAGTCATAATTCACACGGCGCACGCCCACACGCCCGTCACCTAGCATGTGCGTCACCTCAACACCAACACCAACACATAACACGTATATTCAGGGGTCATACCATCAGCACCAAGTTTAGAAGTGTTACTTACCTCGGAAAAGCCAAATCCAATACCGAGCAAGCCGAACGATGCTAAATAAATTCCATCATGTGCGTACCAACTTCCGAACAGCTCAAAACTAGCCAAAAGCAACTCAAGAACATCAAATATTGCCAAAGAAAACAAACCCAATTGATAAAGGTGGAATCTTTAATCAAAAGCCCAAAGTCAACCAAAAAGGACAAACTCGGACCCACACCTTGGAACCCAACAAAACTTATAAAATCCGACAACCCATTAAACTACAAGTCTAACCATAATAGTTTTACTTAAATCTAACTCCGAATCGATGTTCAAAACTCGAAAATTCACTTTATGAAATTTTAGACAAAACCCCCAAGATTTCTCTTTAAAATTCATAATCTAATTACCAAAAAATAAATATAGATTCACTAAATATAATCAAAACCGAGTGTAGAACACTTATCCCAGTTCATGTGGTGATAATTACTTCAAAACTTGTCTCAATCCGAACTCCAAATATGCAAAAATGGCTGAAACTTCCAAAATAAAGTACTTATAATCGCTGGACACAAATACCCTATGCGATCGCAAGACATTCTTCGCGATCGCGAAGAACAAACTCAGAAACTCCCAAAAATACCCTACGCATTCGCGAAAAATCACATGCGAACGCGATGACCACATGCACCTACACTACACGATCGTGACCCGACCAATGTGAACGCGAAGAAAAAAATCCGGCCCCAGCTTCTCAACTCAGCTCTACGCGAACGCTGGCTGACCAATGCGAATGCGATGCTCAATCCTCTAAAGATATGTAAACGCGCTTGAACAGTCACAAACGCGAAGAAAGAAAAAGACCAGCTCCCATAATACACTATGCGATTGCGACCCAGTCTTCGCGATCGCGAATAAGGCCTGAAACACTAGAAATCAGCAGTGCCAAAGAACATGGAAATGATCTGAAACTCATCCAAAACTCACTCGGGCCCCTCGGGACCCCGTCCGAACATTCCAACAAGTCCCATAATATAATACGAACCTACTCGAGGCCTCAAATCACGCATAAAAATATCAAAATCACGAATCGCACCTCAAATCGAACTAAATAAACTTTTGAAATTTCAACTTCTAAAACTCATGCCAAACCATATCAAATCAACTCGGAATGAACTCAAATTTTGCACACAAGTCCCAAATAAAATAATGAAGCTATTCCATCTCCCAGAACCATGATATAAACCCGATATCATCAAAGTCAACTCCCGGTCAATTTTATGAACATTCCAAACCTTCACATTTTCAACTTCTGCCAATTAGTGCTGAAACCTTCTAAAAATATTCAAATGCAAATACAGGAATACGCCCAAGTCCAAAATCATCATTCGGACCTAACGAAATTATCAAAACTCTGATCTGAGGTCAAATACTCAAAAGTCAAACTTGGTCAACTCTTCCAACTTAAAGCTCTCTAGTTGAGAATCATTCTTCCAAATCAATTACGAATAACCTGAAACCAAAACCGACGATTCACACAAGTCATAATATATCATATGGAGCTAATCAAGACTACAAATAGTTGAAAGGAATCCTAATGCTCAAAATAACTGGTCGGGTCATTACATATCTACATCTAAGTATTCTACCATGTTAGTTAGTAAAATTTATGTTCTTCTATTTTAATTGCTATCATTACTTCTATGCCTTCTACCTATTTTGTTATCATTTTCCATATGCAATGCCTTGTTCATTATTACTATTTGTGTATCTCCCACTTTGTCGTTACTGTTATTGGCATTTTTTTCACATGGTTGGTACTGTTATACGTATGCTCGGTAAGGATGAGACAAATGTACGAAGGGTGTTGCTGTGCCATTTGATTTGATATCTTGAGTACATTTCTCACACCATGAAAGTTCTGGATTTTCTACTATAGTTTGATGGTCATCGCTTTAAGGAAAGGATTGGTTGTGATTTTGAGAAATATTTACCGTAATTTATTCTAGTAATCATTTACTGCTTTACATATTTGTTTTTGTACTCCTCTTTATTATGTTTTACTATTGTTTCTATTGTAATTCTACTGCATAGGTTATATCAATGAGTATCTTTTAATTAAAAAGTATCGTCACAACTTCATCGAGGTTAGTCAAGATACTTACTAGGTACATGGGGTCGGTTGTACTCATACTACACTTCTGCACCTTACGTGCAGATCTTGGAGCTGAGATGCGGTAGATGACGGAGCTGACATTGAAGATGTACCTTCCTTCCGAATTTAGCTACCACTTGTCCCTAGATAGTTTTAGAGTTGAATTATATTTATGTGCATTTCAAATAGAAGTTGTATTTATTTCATATCAGCTTTTGCAAAAATCCAATCTTAGTAGCTCATGACTTGTACTACTAGTCCTTGGGATATTGTTTGGAATTCAGTTATATCATTTGTTGATCACTTTTATATTATTAGAACTGTATCGACTGTTATTGGGCTTACCTAGCGGGTCGGGGTAGGTGCCATCATGACAAGTTAAATTTTGGATCGTGACATTGATGATATTCTTACGTGGTTTATTCTACATAAAATTAAAATGAAGATAAACTTTTTTTAAAAAAAACGCTTTCACTATAGTTACAAAATTGAAATAAGGAAAAAATTACATAAGTGAAATTTTATTCAACTTTAGATTCCTAAATGTTCGGAGTTTCTACATAGTTCAAATAAGGAAGAATTTAATAAATAAAATTTCGTAGATTTTAAAGTCCTAAGTATTAAGAAAATAAGTAAATTTATAATTACAAGTTTGTCCAATGTGAAACCTATTTTTAAAGGGTAAAAAAGATGAACGACATTTTGTTAAGTGGTTTCGTGCTTTAATATAGTATAGATTAATTGTAATCTCAAATTTTAATTCTATTTAAGAGTTGTCTACTGATTCTAGGTTTGCCCCCGAGCAATGTAAATAATTTAACTTATTTTAAGTATACTAATAATATAAATAATGTTTTAAACAAAATTTAACTTTTATCATTATCTTTCTTTCTAGAATAAATTTTGTTGGATTTAAATATTACCAATCTAACAAAATTCTTCGTATGATAACTATATCTAACAATATAAATCTCTTATTGTTTTTCATATTTTCCAATTTGAGTTCAATAGGAATAAGATGAATTTCATATTAGGTACTTGAGCAAATATTTTTTTAAGGTTATGAGAACAAAATATTGTTGCGTGATAGTTGAATACAAGTCAACATATTGTTCTATTCTGTCTGATATACTAAAGTAAATGCACAACTCATATGTCAAAATTATATGAAGACATTAAAATACTCTTGTGTGACATAAATTTTTCTTTTATTAAGTTGGCTAAATAGGCTGAATGGTTATAATTCAAGATAACTTGTACCTTTTAAAATTTATGTTTTGTAACTCAATTACATAGTTAATAATATTCGTTTAATTTTTCTCATATTTAAATTCATCAATACGGGGTACACACACAATGCGCGTACTCTAAAGCTAGTACTCGTAAAAACATGCTAGATTTTAAATTTTCTATGAGTTTTTTTTAATCTTTTTTAACTTTCTTAAACTTTTAATATAGCTTTTATATTTTTTGTGTTATTATGCTATATTATTAATTATTAATTTATAGATTAATAATTTTAAAGATCCATGAGCTTACATCAAGTAAAACTTCAAGAAAAAGAAACTGCTCGCTAAAACGGTTTATGTAGTTAATAGTCTCCATTGATATCACCGTTAATTACTCTGTGGCTCTCCACCATTTTCTCTTTTTTCAACATACTGCAAAACTGTCAATAGTATTGTGCACTTGGTTGGTTATAAGTGTAAGATCCTTTTTCTACGTCCACAGAAAGCCGCCAACATTTTCTTCTCTCTCTATATATATATATATACAGTAATCCTACTAACCTGCCGCTGCTCATCGGAAACCTGCTCATTCTCCTCCACCGGCGGTCTCCACCGGTAGACCTCAGTTGTAGCATTATACGAAAATTTTCTTCTTACTTGTTATGTGCTGAAATGTTGCATGGTTGTGCCTTTATGAAATGCTTTACCGTTAAATTCTTTTCTTGTTATGTGCTGAAATGTTGCATGGTTGTGCCTTTGTGAAATGCTTTAACCATTGAACCTCACTTGCTCGACCAATATGGATTTTCTAGGGGTTGAATTCGAAACCTCTAATTAAGAATGGAGGGATCCCGACAATCTCACAAAGTACACCAATTGGTGGTTAATGTTGCATGTTTGTTGTGCCTTACGTGAAATGTGATATGGTTAAATTCTACTTGCAATTGAATATGCTTTTTCTTTTTTTCTTTTTTTTGGGAGGGTGGGAATTGCTTTTATTAGGAATATTGAACATGAGATAATGAGAAAATTAATTTTGTCAATTGCTGATTAGATGGTGCCTTCTTGAATTTTCTATACATAACATGGTATAGGCGTTTAAAAACTTCGATTTACTCTCAACAAGAAGAGATATGGTAATACATGGTTAGTTATCAATTTGCATCAACATTTCTTTTCCTTTTATCAAATGCAATGTCATCTCCATGATCTTCCACTTTATGTTTGGAAAGAGTCCTTATTATGTACACAATCAATGGAAAAAAAGATTTAGACAATAAGTCAATTATAAGGTAATTATTGGCAAATCTTGTTTATAAGCATTAATAGATAACCTAGATAAAAATGGTGTGACTAACATGTTATCATATGTTAAACTAACCCAATCATGCAAGAAAATTTGAAACTGCCAGTATATAACTTAAATAGACTTGGAAATGCAGGGATAGAAAATGGGGGTAGGGGAAGAAGGACACGGATCGTCGACTGCTGGAGGAATAAGAAAAAGAGGATGTACACTTTCAAAGGATGATTTTCTGCCAGAGGAATCATTCAAGAGCTGGGGAAATTATGTAAATGCATTGAGTAATACACCAGCTCGGCTTTATGATCGAGTTGTGACACGTTCTGATGAGCAAGAAGAGATGGATGCCAAGGCAAGAAGTGTTAACCAAATGAAGAGGAGCTTGAATTGGTGGGATCTCATGTGGTTTGGGTTAGGTGCACTTGTTGGTGCTGGAATATTTGTTCTTACTGGTCTTGAAGCTCGTACTGATGCTGGTCCAGCAGTTGTCCTAGCTTATGTTATTTCTGGGGTCTCAGCTATGTTAGCTGTATTTTGCTACACTGAGTTTGCTGTGGAGATTCCAGTGGCAGGTATGTAAAGTCACTTACATATCTGTATTTTACTAACTAGTAAAAGAATATTTACTTTATCAGGTCATCGAAGATAAAAAGGCAGGATTAGTAACTTGGAAAATAAGACAGATTATCTGCTATAATAGCTTAAAATACATTGATTCTGTAAAAATTCTTTGCACTATCATGTATGTATTTAAGTAAATCCATTTTTTAAGGTACATTAGTAAATTAAAGCTCTTGATGAGAGATATCCATCTTCAATACCTTTTGATTAGACTTTGTCCATATCCTTTTGACACTCGTTTATCTTTCCTTTTATTCTGGTAAATTGGTGCTTAATGATTTATGAGCTGTGGGCAGGGAGGACTGTGGGATGAACCCTCTCCTTGATTTCATAACAAGTTTTTATGATAGTTGAAAGTATCCTAAAACCACGAATGAAGAAAATTAACTATAAGTTCTTATAACCTTTGGTAAGTTAGGTGAACTAATGAGAATAAACTTAATTTCCTGAAGTGCATTATCATTGACTAACCAATCTTCATGTATATTTTTGTCTTGTCTCCCTCCAAACATGCATAATAGTGACCACATTGGCTTGTAGCAAAAATCTGCAATCATCAATAACTGTCCTAAAGGGATGCCTCTTCTGTGATAGGTTCCACAGTAAGTAGACAATCCGTGTCCACCTTCAACTCTTTGTGTTCGTTTTCTTTTGGCAATTTAAGATCTTGATTTAGTACTCGCCCCGTTGAGGTTGGATGTAGCTTCTTTTCTGGATATGTTTGTTATTCCCGGTCAATATTGCTGTATTTGTAAATATTAATTCTGCAAAATATAAGTTAACGTAATGAAACAATAATAATAAATTCGAGCCCACTGAATTCACAGTGTTTCCTTAAGGAATTTAATCCCCTCCTAGTACCCAAGGTAATGGATTATTTCCTCCCAGGATAGAACGAATAACACACTGGTGTAGCGGTACTTCAAACCCCAGTGTTTCGGCGAACACAAAGTTCGGTAGCAAATCACACTTACAGTTGCTTTGTTTGAAGTTAAAAA